CGTCTGTTGTCTTTTACAACGGTAGGACTACCAAAATTACTGGGATTGCACTGGTATAAAAGGAGAAAAAATTGCACCCTTTATGGCAAATCAATTGGAAAATAACACCAGCTAGATACAAGGCTACACTGGACATCTTCCCCTTGCTGACACCGCAAAGAAATCCTGAAGTGGTTTCTGTAAACTAAACAAGCTTCAGTATCACGCACTAGTCTTTATAAATTACTTCTATTTCTCACCAATTAGTTCCTCTTTCAGACCATTCATTTTTTGCATTTCCTTAAATTTTTGTTCTCTTAATCTTTATTAATGTAATGGACTTTAGACAGAAACATTATTTGTGTTCATACTTACGGAAAATGTCTCTGCTGCCTTGTGAAACACAGCTGAGAGAAACCTTAATTCGGTAAGAATTACTGTTTTGCAAAATGAGTATTGTTACATTAGCTGAGCACTGTATTTAAATTGCTTTTTGCTACAATAGGTCTCACTTGGACTATTTGGATAGCTCAATACTGTACATGGAAAGGTAGAATTGCCCTAATAAAATCAAGCTGCAAGTACATTTCATCTGCCATTTCGTACTTTCAGTGCTTCATAATTAACTTTGGTCAAAAATTACCCCTTCAAGCCCAAGGGATTAATTCTCCCTTAACTATATTTGTGCATTACAGGAAAAACAGTCATCCCTTGGTTTCCTGTCTTGGATGAGCAGCTTACTCCATTTTTAAACTACAATAATTGTGGATGAATTCCAGGTGTGTGCTTGCCCCTTATGGACTAAATTTCATGCTGTTTGATTTCCTTTTATCTAATTCTAGGAACAGAAATGCCCTAAGCCCAATTTCCATGCTCTGGTGCCCCCCCAGCATGACCTAGAAATCGGGCAGGTGCTTATGCTAGTTGTGAGCCCAGGGACCAGGATGGACAACACTACAACACAGCGCTCATCTGACACAGACTCTTCCAGCTTCTAACACTTAGCAGTTTAACATCATCCTCATATTTTTTCCTTATATTGGATAACCCACTTTTTAATCCCCTCCCCTCCCCTCAAATTATTTCCCTTCTTCCTTTCTCACTGGCTGGTTTACCCTTTATCCCTCACCTTGGAAGAGTGCTCATTTGTCAGGCAACTTCCATTAGTCTCCTTTGCACATATAAGCCTTTTGGAAGATAAACAGAAAAAGGCAGGTGATTCCTGCCAGTGTCAAGGAGAGGTTCTCAAGACAGGCTCTTGACAATTTACTTGGATGCCACTAAAATAATCCAGTGAGAAAAGGTCATCTTGAATTCAACTATTATACACAGGCAACCACATTACCATACGTCAAAGACACTAACCTGCATTAAAAAGAGTCAATGCAGATGAATACAAATATTTCAACATCCGAATCTCCCAAGTCAAATTTCAATCTCCCAAGCCCTCCGACTAAGCTATTTTGGGATGATATTGAATGGCAGTGTTAAACTTCACAAGAATTTGAAAATAATTTGAATGTGTTTGCTTTCCTTTTCCTGTTTTTGACCACTTTAGAACCCAACGAACAACTACCAAAACTTTCAGGAGTCTAAAATTATTTCAAATAAGTAAAAACATGCAAATGTTCACAGAAGTATAGCAGATAGTTTTTCAACCACCTCCAGTTCTAATGAGTCATTATTAAAGAACATTCTAGATTGCAAAGAAGAAATACAAATCATTAATAACACTCTGCACTAAGGACATTTAGGAGCTCTGGCTTTCTTGCTACAACTGATACTTAATAAGACGGGTTTAGGACACATGAGTCTGCAGCATATGAGAGATTCATGAGAAGACTCAACAGCAAAGTCCAGACCTGGCTCAAACAAGAACCAAACCAATTCCTGCAGCCTTGTGATGGGCTTAGCACATTACATGGGCTTACACACATTAGTAAGGAAAGGGTTACAGACATATTGCCACCTGAATTTTCCCCATCTAAACCACTGCATACACAAGCATTTTAAAAAGGGCACTCAGCAAAGGGACCACACACTGCGTATTCTCCAGGATGGTGTCCACCTTGCAGAGGAGGTGGTTACTGATAAATAAATTAGGCTGTATGAACTGAAGACCATTTGTCTGATAAACAGGGACAAGAAAGTCTGTTGAGATCGTGTGTGCTGTTGTTTGGAGAGTGAGACATGGGCATGACTGAATGCCTTTGGGAGATGGGAGGAAAAGAAGGACAGAAACAGAGATGACTGACACAATAGTGTACTGCCTATCTTGCAGGGGAAATCTGTCTGTCTGTTAAAGAGAGGAGAAAGGGAAAGAAGACATACAGATGGTCTGACTCCCAGTGGTGACAGGAGCAGTTGGTCTCCTCTCTTTCTGATACTGACAGTTGCTGTCACCTTATTTTGAAGTCTCCTAATGAAAAAAGTGGGAGTCAGTTTGATACTGAAAAGAGAATAAAGGATAAATCACAGACCTAACCATAACCATTTGGTCTAGGATGAGTGATGGAGGTTGGGGACATCTGACAACAGCCTACAATAGCTGAATGTGCACTTCCCCATCCTGAGAACTTCAGCCTGAGGAAAGAACATTTGTGCTATTTACTACAGAAATGGGGCTTTTAGAGTCAAGCATCTAATGAGTGCATGTTTACAATGCTGCTTTCCTAGCAATGTATGACAGCTCGGGACCCATATGCTACCTCATCCAGTCCCATTTCACCACAGCATCTTTTTAAAAAGGCCAAAAGGACACCTTTATGCACACATACTGCTATCAAAATAGGAAGGTACAAAAAAATGGCCCCCAAGAGTAAGATTATTTTCTCTATTAACTCTGCACTGCACCCAAAAGGCACCATTTTACCTAAGAAGCAGCCAGGGTTCCAGCATGTAGAGAGAGAGAGATGGATGGTTCTTGGTTTAGGGAGAAATAGAGCTTTTGCTCTTGGGAAATCTTGCTTTCCCTACACGGTGCTACCATTGGCTCTGTTCTTCTCAGGATGGTGGAAAAAAAACCATTTATTTCTGCCAAGATAAAATTTTCAGACGCACACAGAATATTTTAGGACCCCACGGGACATTTTGTCGAGGAAAATCTAATTCAATGATTTTCCCTTAAAAAAACTCAAACAAACCCCCAGATTTTGGCAGGATTCCTTTTTCACCCAGTCCACTAATTTCAAAGGAAGTCAGTTATCTAACAGCTCTCTGCATAAAACAAGTGAAATAACAACATGAAGTTAAAGCAGACCAAATGTCAGTGTTCAAGGCCAGGTTGGACAGAGACCTGGGCGCTATGGTCTAGTGCGAGGCATCCTTGCCTATGGCGGGGGGGTGGAACTAGATGACCTTAAGGTCCTTTCCAACCCTAACCGCTCTATGATTCTACGAAATATACGGAATCAACCCCTTGCATAGATGCCGCCATTAATTCATTTCAATTTCATTTAGTTTAATTCTCTTTGGAACAGAAGCATACTCAGTCAGATTAAGGACATTTCCATTCACATTTGTCCCCTCTAATACGACACTCTACACTTACTTGGATTAAATTCCCCTCCCGTGTTTAGAAAAGTCCTAAGTAACCACAATCTTGGACCTAAATCTTGCATCTCTTCTGCACTACTGAAAATGGGACCTGGTTTTGTAAGTTAATTAGATGTTATTGGATATTTTAACCATGATCTTGCTTTCTCTTTTTTGCCTTTTTTCCCCCACCGAATATGTCAGTAAACTTGGGCTGTGCCAGAAATCCTTTGTCACCTGAACCTCACCTACAAATCCATCCACCCACTGACTGCTTTGTTTCCTTGCTCTGCCCAGGGAAATGGGGGGGTACATGTGCTCTGCACCATGAACCCCTGACCTCCTGGAGCATGTCAGGCTGAGAAAAGATCCTGTTTCCTTTCTTAAGTATATCAAGATTGGGAAAACCACAAGGCAGGGACAAAGCCACTGCATGGAGAAAGGGGACAAGCTTTCATAACAAACTGAATCACACCACCACTGTAGCTGTTGTATGACATAGGATCCCACGAGAGCAAAACTGGGAAGAATTAAGAGTGTTTTGAGAGAAACTGGAAGATAGACCCAAGGGAAGGCACACAGGGTGTTCCTCATCTTCCACAGTAGGCCATAACTATCTCCATATCAGAGCAGAGAGAGTTAATGACAGGTCCTCTCCCATCTCGGTGCACCCGCACCTCGTGCTGTCTGAAGATTGCTTCACTCCCAGCAGTTCCCAGGAAAGGAGAGTTTGCAACCTAAGACCTAAGGACAAGACATCCTTCTGGAGACTTTTTTCACTTTTTCTCTCTCTTTCTCTAAGGAACGATAATTACTGCATCAATGGCAAATCCTGACAGTCCTCTTGGTCAGAAGATACCAAGAGATGTGGTTGCTAACTTATTAGGCAATATGATTAGTCTTTGTCAGGGACCAGTCATTCAAACTAACCCGTAGTGCCACATGTGTGGCTTGGTTTTAAATAAATATAATGCTCAGCATTAGCCTGAGGTTCCCAGGAGCCGTGCTGTTTATTCCCTCTTGATGCATTGCTGTCAGCAAGTGGCATTGCTGCCAGTGTCAGCAGTTACATGCATACATACCCATACCCAGTGTAGGTCAGGGAGCGTTTGCATTTCTGCAAGACAGATAATGCTGGAGAGCATTATCCTTTTCCCTGCTGCTGCTCCCCATGATTCAGCATGGACTCCAGTGCCTCCCTGCACAACCAGGAGAAGATTTCTCTATTTGCTTTTCAAACGATCATCCCAGGGTACACAGGGCAGGTTATAGAGGATAAATGATGCTCTCATCACCCATGACTGCCTTTAGCTCGGTCACATTACATGTAAGGATGACAGGTCCCTTCTCTTCTATGGCATCCTCTCGGTGATGCCTTCCAAAGTCAACCCCAAGCTCTTATGTAAAAGCAGAAATGATGCCCAGCAGTATGCACAACTCAAACAAGGCTCCACTGAGTAACCATTAAACCATATTCCAAAATTTACCTTAGTTCCTTGAAGGGGTCTGCCCTGACATTGGGAGTTTCTATAGATTTAGGGAACACTGTGCCTTCTGCTCCTGAAATCACAAAACAAAACAGAAGACAAATTGTAAACATTATAAGCTGTTATCAGGGGAGTGATTGTCAAATCATACCTAGGTGCAATTTAACCCATCGCCTGATCCCATTTCTTGCTTGCACACATCCCTTCTGTCCCCAGGAAAAGCCAGACCTTGATCATCTGAAATTGGTTGCCTTGATTACAACTGGGATTTGCCTGTAAACTGCACTTCTGGCTGTAAAGACACCAGCATGCACCCCCACTGTGGGAAGTGTTTGCCAACCCAACTGATGCAGGGAACTTGGAAAAGATACCCCCCTGGTAACCAGGCATCTAATCCAGCTACATCACCCATTAATGAACCTGGATGCATGTCATGACATTGTTTCTTTTGCTGGGCTCAGAGATACTCAAAGGAGAAACCAAATTTTGGCTTAATCACTGCAAACGTATCTCTGGTCGGGCTGTGCTCCTGCCTGGGGAAAAGGAGGGAGGTGTCCACCTGATGAAACACAGCACAGGCAGACAGCAGACTCTGCTCTAGTCCCAGCCTGGCTAACGGTTTGATGTGTGACCCAGAAGTCATTTAACTTCTGCTCATTTTCCCCATCTCCTGGCGATGCTGGGGAAGGTAGCACTATCCTCATTTGCTGACTGTTTAGATCACGAGCTGTAAACTGCAAGGTAATATGAACAGCTTTCCTCGGTTTCAGGCCACTGCAATCCTCTTCTGTGGCCACCTGCATAGCCCAAGTTGGGCCACTGCACCCAGCCACCCCTGCACTGGTCCATATTCTGTGACTGAGCCATCCTGTGTCTCTCTAGAAAGAGATGCTCTTTATGTCATTATTTTAAGCCAAATGTATCACATGCCAGCCTCTGGCAAGCCTTTCTACTAATTCTTCTAATTAAAAAATGTGTATCTAATCAGAATTGGTCTCACTTTCAGCCACTAAATCTTCATGTGGCATGCAACTGGCCATGCACGACCAGACTCGTCACCTTCTGTAGGTAGGTATCTGCTGATGGTGACCCAACCACCCCAACCATCTCTGATTCTCTGAGAAGTCAGGGCTTTCTGAATCATTCACTGTGAAGCAGATTTCCTGGACTTCTCACTGCTCTCTTCTGAACCCATTCCTCTTTTTAAATACTCTGCTGGGACACAGTAGTCCCCAGGTGCTGTCACAGATGCTCTGTGCTGCAGAACGTCAAATTCTCACTCCCACTGAAACTTGCAATTAAAACACAGCTAAGAATGGTATTGTCTGACACACAGCAGTGCACCAGAAATTGATGTTCGTGTTCTCTAATACATAGCTGCCTACCCAGTGAGCAAGTATGACCTCTATTCTTAAATTCAGACCTGTGGTTGTGCGTTCAGATGCATTGCGAACAGTTAGATATTCATTATCTGGAGTCATCACAGCAATTTCAGCGTCAGCGTGCAAACTACACCAGTGGCTTTTTTTTTCTTTCCTTTCTTTTTTCAGTAAAGCCATTGGTGCAAACTACAGATCCCGTTAAGACTGTTTACATATATTCTTTGACATGTCTCTTTACACATGCTATTATAATTGTTATCTATGTGCAGTCTGGAAGTCACCGCTACAGAATAAAAGATCTAAGTTGATACAAAACATGTTAATACAACATCCTTCTACAATTTCTCCTAGAAAAGAAAACCACTTGTGGCTTCAATAAGACCACGCTTTCATTGCACTGAAATAAATTAACTAAGCTGTCCCACTGTGTTAAAGAAAAAAAATCAGAATCACAACAAGAACGCCAACGTTTATTAAAAAAAAAACCAACTCCTTTCTAACCTACAGAAAAAACCCCGAGCAATCTCAAAGATAATAACAGCAGCCTAAAGTTTCAAGCTTTAAACTTGGGAATTGAAATTGATCCTATGGCACAATACAGATATTTAGCTCTTAACTTTAAGCTTTCATTGCTACAAGTTGTCAAAAGCAGCTGTAGCTTGCCAGCCATGAAGGTTATTACTATCAGATCTGTTCTCTCTCAACAGTTTCCAAATGATTTAAGTCTCTGCTTATCCACACAATTGTTTGCCTATTAGCTCTGCAATGAAACTTAGCAAAAGTTACAGCCTGCACATATCTGTGGAACAAAACAATGATTTTCGAGGGGAGGAGGATGAGTAAGTGCACACAGGGAGGTGCACATAGATATTCTTGTACCCCTTCCACCTGTATTGCTTAAATGGTGACTTTATGCTGGTAACTTTGATTCACTTTTACACACCTTCAGTCAGCTACCTAAGTTATGAGAAGCCCCAAATAAGAACCTGCATGTACCAGAAATACCTGCAGAATAAGGGGAACTTTAGCATATTTCCAGTGACTTGGGTTTTCTAGGCTTTTCTTATTTCATTCAAATGCAGGAAGCAACTTTAGAAACAAAGACAGAGAAGACTCCAACGTGATCATTTCAGGAAGGCTGAAAATAAGAACATCTATTCCTTTCCTCCATCTCCTTGTTTTTCTTTCCCTATACACTGTTCGTAAACCCTCTTTTCCTTGTCTCCTTTATTCCCAGATCCATGAAAGAGTCCCTTATGTGCTGAGAACTGGAGATTTCCAAATCCTTTTGTTTCTCTCCTTTGATACGAATTAGAAGTGAACACTACCTGCCCTGATAAGGCTTCCTGCCTTGACAATATCATTACTTATTATTCTGTTTAAGAGCACAAAATCTCCCAAAGGGCCACTTGTCCCTGTCACTGAGTAGGACATCAACCACTCAGGGCTGAGGAGATGCTGATGGGCCAGGACTGAGACATCCCTCCCTTGACTCTGGCTGTCAGCAGCTGCGGGACTCCTTGAGCTGGCTGTGTCATCCAGCCACTGGAGACACACTGATAAGCTTTCCCCACCTCACCTAATTATCCTTTTAATTGGCCCCATTTCTGTACCAACGGGATAACAGATTAACTAAATGCTCTGGAGAAGTTTTTCCTTTGGTTTCAGCCTGCTGCCTGATTTCACTGGATGCTTGTTCTGCTTCGGACTGTGAGAACCACTGAATTACCATCCTCTTTTTGTGCTACTGTTAAAGACCTTGAATGTGTCCACTCCCACCAGCCCTCTCTCTTCTACAGTAAAGAGTCTCAGTCTCTGCCTGGGTAATTGGCAGCTCCCACAGTGCCTCCCAAGGGAAACTGCCTTGGACAAACTCAACTACATTGGACATCTGTATCAAAGTGTGGCTCTGGGCCACTATGGAAGTCCCAAGCTAGGCTGCGATAGGATCATTGTTGGATGGCGTTGAAAGTGAAGGCATTAGGCCAGGGGAAGTGGTTTTACTAAAGGCTTTGGCAAACAAGAAGAAAAGTTTGAGGGAAATGTGCTGTGGACACTGAACCGGGCTATTATGGCTCTGCAGAGAACTGGGACACCATGGAGAAACAAATGTTTGACCTCAGGGAGCGGAAGAAGAGAGAGAGGGTAGGATTTAAAAATATGAAGTCCAAGGTCATTTGCTCAGAAAGTGGTGAAAATTTCTGCTCTTTGTTGGATGCTTCCAGGATGGGAACATCCCTGGAGAAAAGCTGAGTGCTACTCATGATTCATGGCAGCAGGACAGGGCCAAAGGGAAGGCAAACACGACATTAAGCTGAAAGGCAAGAGGCAAGTCTAACAGGAACATGAAACAAATCACATCGTTTCAGGAATCGTGAGTGAATCCTTACGTAGCCCCAACTCGTTCCCAGTGAGGGAAGCATACAGAGACGAAATACCCTCATGGCTGCATGAACTGCACTGTTCAAGAATACAATCTCCCTTCCCAATCAAAACTACTATATCCCTCTTATCCCTTTAGTGAGTATAAAGCAAATGCAAATTAAATTTATTATTGTACAACACAGCTTCTGCTTCCTGAATTATCCGTTATTAAAACATTTTCTATCTACCCTGAAAAATACATAAGACAAGATTTCTATTTCATTGCAAAGTACTGAAAACATTTTTCTTCATCTTATGAGACTTTCTGCTCTGCTAAGGGTGACTTATTTGCAAACAGCTGAAGACAGTTAGGAGGAAACAATCATATAATTTGTATTTAAGCACACTAAACTGTACATTCCTAGGCAATAAATTATTCTTTCTCACAGCATTGTATCAGAGTGACTTGTATTAAAAGCCATCCCTACTGATTTCCTCTTCTGACACTGTGTAATTTACCACCGATAAATGTTCATAAACAGTTTGACTGAAAAATCCATAAAGCCATTTCAGCTTTATTTTAAGTTCCATTTAATGTCCCTCAAAAATGATTTCATCAATGTGTTTCCATTAGCTAGTTCTCTGCCCAATAACTTAATTCCACACAATCAGTCACGAACTTATAAAGCATATGACAGGATCTTCCTAAAGTGTTTTGAATCACCATAAAGATTCACTCAGAGTGTTTGGGTTTTTTTTTCCCTTCTAGTGCATAAGGAGCGGGGACACAAATGTCAAAGACCCCTATATGTGTTCACTTCATACAATAACAAAAATCAAGAGTCATATGGCCAGGGAACATTTACAGTTCACTTACAGGGTTTGAGGATATTTTTATGTTTGTTTGCTTTTTTTTCTTCTTTCATTTGAGACTCACACGAAAGGCTCTATGAGAACAGGTCTGCCAAATCAGAATTTGCATTTCGTTTGACTCTAGTGGTTTCTTAGAAGTTTATTGTCACATCCAGGAGCTTGGCTGTGGTGTGGATCACTGCAAGTGAGCTGTTGGAGCAAGACCCAGCTTCTGATCTCCTCTCAGCTTCCTCTTTCCATTCTGCACCTGTCATAGGAGCCTCCATTGCCACTGCCCTGTTGCATCTTCTCAACAGCCCCAGCTCCTGCACAGGATGACACTGTCCTTCCTTCCTGCAGAACATTTGCCATGAGCAATCTGGCCTCACTGTTTCCAACATGGAAGCAACATAAAAAGTCAGTGGGCTGAGCTTTGGGCAATCGTACTCTATGACATGAATCCAAGACATAGCTT